CTTTTTACTAGTGATTTAAATCATGATTTAAATTGTGATTTAAATCAACTCGATTTAAATCAAATCCACACCCTGCTTTGAAGGCACCCTTATTGGTACCGTCCGAATTATTTAAAGGGGTCTTGATGTCAGCTGGAAGGAGGAGGCAAACTTCCCCAAATTTTATAACGGTTCTTTTTCTTTCCCCCCTACTTACATATTCGTATGTCTTGGATTGCAAGAGAACAAATTTAAAAACAAGAGTTTTGATTTTAGATTTTGGGTACTGGTGGGGAACCCGTTCTGATATTGAAGTGCAATTCCTAAACTGCTGGAACTGGGGAAACAAGCAGTATAGCATGTTTCATAATATCTGGACTGAATTTATTTGCAATTCCCAGACCAATGAAACACAAAATCCAGAATTTAAACCATTAAAACCACTTCTGCAATGCCCATACAAACCAGACAAAACTTCATGGAGACCCTTCTGGTTACCATTTGATTTTTTTGATATCCCACCCCCACCCCGTATTCTGCAGACCTGCCAGCTATCTAAAAGTGACTGTTTTAGATCTACTTAAAGAGTTCAGCATTCTTTGCCAGCCTAATTTTATATATAAAAAATAAGCCACATAGCTGGCCAGGAATTCTCGTCCTTTAACATTTGCCAACCCTCCCCAAGAGGGAGTCATAATCCAACCCAACTGGACAGAATTAAAGAGCAGCAATCTGTTGTAAAGAACAATTCAACATTATAGTTTTGTCCATGAGGTTAGGAGAAAGGAAATTCTCTCTATTAGAAAGCAGCGGAGCTAAATTGGGGATCTAAAGTCACGTTTTGCTGAGAAGCTGGCAACTCTGTTCCCCCCCCAACCAAGAAGAAAGCCAATTAAAGTTTATTTCTTTTACAAGCCTTACAAGAGAGTCAGTTTGGTTTAGGCCTCAGGCTAGAAAGCAGGAGACTGTGAGTTCTAGTTCCGCCTGGGACACCAAGCCAGCTGGATGGATCTTGGGCCAGCCACATGCTCCCAGCCCTAGGAAAGAAGCAATGGCAAACCACTTCTGAAAAACCGTGCCCAGAAAGCTGCAGGAACTTGTCTGGGCAGTTGCACTGACTCAAAGTGGCAAAATTGCTCCACTCCAAAACTGACTGTAAATGGCATCCGGTGCCCATTAATCATCTCTTGCATGCCAGGGCTCAATTCCACACTTTTGTTGTCACAACAACCCTCCAAGGTGGGCCAGATTAAGCAGGGCCACCCCAGGACACCCAGCATTAAGCAGAGAATTGGTGGAGGAGTGCAGGAGTGGCTGTCCGGATGCTGCTCAACTCGTACAGATAGTCCTCGACTTACAACCGTTCATTTTTAGTGACCGCTTTCGACAGTTACGACATCACTGAAAAATGACTCACGGCCATTTTTTACACTTCACGACCGTTGCAGCATCCTCACGATCACCTGATCAGACGCCCGTCAACCGACTCATATTTATGACCTATTGCAGTGTCCTGGGATCACGTAATCCCCTCCTGGGGGAACCTTCTGGCAATCAAAACCAACAGGGAAGCCAGACTCACTTAATAACTGCGCTACTGCGGTGATTCACTTAACAACTCCACCAGGAAGCGCGGGAGGACCCCTTGGAGGGAAGAGCCGAGGACTTTGTTCAGTATCTGTATGACAAAATCACTCAGATTCGAGAAGGTCTGGACTCTGACTGGGTAGATCCAGCGAGAGTGACGGAGGCAGGTCTTGAGACTGTTATCTGGGATGAGTTTGATCCTGTGACCCCAGATGACGTGGACAGGATTCTGGGTAGATTGAACGCGACCACATGTTTGTTGGACCCGTGTCCCTCCTGGTTAGTGCTGGCTTCCCGGGAGGTGACGCGAGGCTGGCTCCAGGGGATTATAAATGCTTCATTGGGTGAGGGTGTCTTCCCCGCCGCCCTTAAGGAGGCGGTGGTGAGGCCCCTCCTCAAGAAGCCTTCCCTGGACCCGGCAATATTGGCTAATTATCGTCCAGTCTCCAACCTTCGTTTTGTGGCGAAGGTTGTTGAGAGTGTGGTTGCGGGACAGCTTCCCCAGTACCTGGATGAAGCGTCGTATCTGGATCCGTTCCAGTCGGGTTTCAGGCCTGGTTACAGCACGGAAACGGCATTGGTCGCGTTGGTTGATGATCTCTGGAGGGCTCGGGACAGGGGTTGTTCCTCTGTCCTGGTCCTGTTAGATCTCTCAGCGGCTTTTGATACCATCGACCATGGTATCATGCTGCACCGGTTGGAAGAGTTGGGGGTGGAAGGCACCGTACTAAGGTGGTTCTCCTCCTTTCTCTCCGACCGGTCGCAGTCTGTGTTGACAGGGGGGCAGAGGTCGACCCCGAGGCCCCTCATATGTGGGGTGCCGCAGGGATCGGTCCTCTCGCCCCTTTTGTTCAACATTTATGTAAAGCCGCTGGGCGAGATCATCCGTGGTTTTGGGGTGGAGTACCATCAGTACGCTGACGACACCCAGCTGTACATCTCCACCCCGGATCACCCCAACGATGCCCTTGAAGTGATGTCCCAGTGCCTGGAGGCCGTACGGATCTGGATGGGGAGGAACAGGCTCAGGCTCAACCCATCCAAGACCGAGTGGCTGTGGTTTCCGACGTCCCGATATAGTCAGCTAATGCCATCGCTGACTATTGGGGGCGAATCATTGGCCCCCACGGATAGGGCTCGCAACTTGGGCGTCCTCCTGGATTCACGGCTGTCGTTAGAAGAGCATGTGACGGCCGTGTCCGGGAGGATTTTTCATCAGGTTCGCCTGATCCGCCAGTTGCGTCCCTATCTAGATCGGGACTCCCTACACACAGTCACTCATGCCCTCGTTACTTCTCGTCTGGATTACTGCAATGCTCTCTACATGGGGCTCCCCTTGAGGTGCACTCGGAGGCTCCAACTGGCGCAGAGTGCGGCCGCGCGGGTGGTGATGGGAGCGACTTGGAGTTCCCATGTGACACCTCTCCTGCGCGAGCTGCACTGGCTCCCGGTGGTCTTCCGAGTGCGCTTCAAGGTTCTGGTTATCACCTTTAAAGCGCTCCATGGCTTAGGACCTGGTTATTTACGGGACCGCCTGCTACCACCAATAGCCTCCCACCGGCCAGTACGCTCCCATAGAGAGGGGCTCCTCCGGGTGCCGTCGGCCAAACAATGTCGGCTGTCGGCCCCTAGGGGGAGAGCCTTCTCTGTGGGGGCACCTACGATTTGGAACGAGCTCCCCCCGGAGATACGTAGGATCCCGGATCTGCGCACCTTCCGCCGCGCACTTAAGACTTTTCTATTTTATCAAGCTGGCCTGGCCTAAATCTTCCCCCTTTTTAAATGTGGAAATTTTAAATTTTTAAATTTTAAATTTGTCTTTTTATAGGGGTATGGGTAAGGCATTTTAAATTGGGGAGCCATCTTAGATTTAATTCTGTTTTAAACGTATTTTAATTGTTTATATTGTATGTTTTTAACTTTGGCTGTGCACCGCCCCGAGTCCTTCGGGAGAGGGGGCGGTATAAAAATCTAATAAATAAATAAATAAATAAATAAATAAACAACTGTGGCAAGAAAGGTCGTAACGGGGGGGGGGGGGAAACTCACTTAGCAAGCGTCTCACTTAGCAACGGCTGGGTCCTAAGTCGAGGACTAACCTGTACCAGACTCCCCATTCCTGCTTTTCCTTTAAGGCAGTGTTTCTCAACCTTGGAAGCCTGAAGATGGGTGGACTTCAACTGGGGGATTCTGGGAGTTGAAGTCCACCCATCTTCAAGCTACCAAGGTTGAGAAAACATTGCTTTAAGGGAATCGAGGCACTAGCGCCAGACTGGCTTTCCTCTTTCCGCCACACCTCCTTTCCTCGCTGGCTCCGCCTCCAACGACCAGCTTCTCCGACCTCAATCCTTCCCAGGAAGGCCGGGTGACCCCGCACTCCTTTCCCGCCAGACCCTCACCCTCTCCCGCGTTCCCACGACGGCAGAAAGCCAAGCCCCTGCAAAGCCTCTCCAAGGAGGTTGTCTTACCCGAGTTAGACCCCTCCCCGAGCAAAGATGGTCTCTTTCACTCCTTTCCCAGGAGACGGGAAACAGACACGTGTCTGCACATACACACATGCACACATATACACCCTGCCTCCCGGGTTCAGCAGAAAGCCAAGCCCCCGCAGAGCTTTTTTTTTTTTTTTTTAATTTGATTTATATGCCGCCCTTCTCCGGAGACTCAGGGTGGCTTACAACGTGCTAAGCAATAGCCTTCATCCTTTTGTATATTTTATACAAAATCAGCTTATTGCCCCCACAATCTGGGGCCTCAATTTACCTACCTTAGAAAGGATGGAAGGCTGAGTCAACCTTGAGCCTTGGCGAGATTCGAACCTGCAGTAATTGCAGGCAGCTGGTCTTAATAACCAGCTTAATAACAGGGTGCCTTAGACCACTGTGCTACCAAGGCTCTTGGTAGTGCAAGGAGGTCGCCTTAGCCGAGTTAGACCTGCCCCCCTCCTCTCCTCTTCCACTCCTTTCCCAGGAGGCGGGAAACAGACACGTGTCTACACATGCATACATACACACATCCTCCCAGGTTCAGCCAAGCCCCCGCAGAGCCTCTCCAAGGAGGTCGTCTTATCCGAGATAGACCCCCCTTTCCTCTCCTCTCCCACTTTCCCAGGAGACGGGAAACAGACACGTGTCTGCACACACACACACAAACACACATCCTTCCTCCCGGATTCCGACGGCGGCAGAAAGCCAAGCCCCCGCAGAGCTTCTGCAAGGAAGTCGCCTTACCTGAGTTAGACTCCCCCCTCTCCTCTCTTCCACTCCTTTCCCAGAGGGCGGGAAACAGACACGTGTCTGCACATGCACACACACACACACCCTGCCTCCCGGGTTCCGACGGCGGCAGAAAGCCAGGCGCCCGCCCGAGTCAGTCCCGCCCTCCTCTCCCCCACCCACCCACCCACCCACTTCAGCCCATCCCGACGTACATACAAAGGCGGCGGCGGCGGCGTCTCCGTCAGTTCCGCAGCTTCCTCGGGGCAGCAGCAGGACAAGGGCCCTCCGACCCGCCATCCCGAGGCGCGGCTGAGGCCCGGAGCTCTTTTCCCGGCTCGCGAGTCACGGCCTCGCCTACCGCCCCATTCCCACGAAGCGGCCGACACGGGCACCGGGGGACTCGCATAGCTGCGCGGTGGCCGCGGCTCCCTCCCCTCCTCCTCCTCCTCCCGTCCCCGATCGCCTGCGGCGCGCCGTCACTCCCGGCGGGCTCGCGATTGGCCGGTTTAGGCTCCGCCCCTCTCGGCAGCCTATGAGCGGCGGCGGTCCGGCTCCCGCCTCGCGCCGCGATTGGTTGCTTTCCGACACCGTCGCTGCAAGGCCACGCCCCACCAGAAAGAAAGGGGGAAAAAAAAAAGGTGGGAGGGGGAGCAGCCGGCTTGGGAAGGAGAGGGAAAAAAAAAAAAAAAAAGGGCTCCTTCGCCTTGAGGGGGGCGGCGGCCCCCGGGGGACGGGGGGGGCGGAGGGGGGGGGGGGGGGGGGTTCCTTCTCGGGCAGAGACCCCGCGGCGTCAGGGGCTGCAATGCAAAGGTGCAAAAAGTTGCAGCCCTTTCCTCCAAATCGGATTGCCGTTTCTGGGGTTTTGTTTTTTTTTCCCTTTGAAGACGTTTCGCTTCTCATCCAAGAAGCTTCTTCAGCTTCCCCACCATTCACTCAGAGCTGAAGAAGCTTCTTGTCTGATAAGCGAAACGTCTTCAAATAAAGAAAAACCCAGAAAGTCCAGTCGCCTGTTGAAAAAAAAAAAATAACCTTCGCCATCTCTGAGCTGGCTTGTTTTCTTGCGTTTCATGACCCTAACTTGTAACATCATCAGGGCTGCAACGCAGTGGGTTTTCATTGCTGGCCCTTGTAACACTGATGGTGTTACCTAGTTAGGGTCATGAAACGTCAGCAAGAAAACAAGCCAGCTCAGAGATCGAGAAGGTTATTTTTTTTCAACAGGCGACTGGACTTTCTGGGTTTTTCTTTCTTTGAAGACGTTTCGCTTCTCAGGCAAGAAGCTTCTTCAGCTCTGACTGAATGGTGAGGAAGCTGAAGAAGCTTCTTGGATGAGAAGCGAAACATCTTCAAAGGGAAAAAAAAACCCCAGAAAGTCCAGTTGTGTCTTGAAAAAAAGCCCCTTTGGGAAAACCATGACCTGGATGGCTGAGAATCTCCATAGACCCCCTCCTTTCAACCCTGAGCTACAAATATTCTGTTTTATTGGAAGTAAACCCACCAGAATGCCCTCACTCCTAAGACCCAGCAAGGGAAGTCTCCCCCAGCCAGGGGACAGGCGCAGAATGGCCCTTGAAGGCTCCTTAAAAACCCACTCCCACCCAAAAAATTTTTAAACAGAATATCTGAGGCTGCATTTCCATGACACTCTTGTTGCCAGTTAAATGTCCTGCAACTTGACACACAGTGGGCTAAAGTGCGCTGGGACTGATCCTTGGACGGGGACAGGGGTGAAATCCAGCAGGTTCTGACAGGTTCGGGAGAACCGGTAGTGGAAATTTTGAGTACTTCGGAGAACCGGCAAATACCATCTCTGGCTGGCCCCAGAGTGGGGTGGGAATGGGGATTTTGCAGTATCCTTCCCCTGGAGTAGGATGGGAATGGAGATTTTGCAGTATCCTTCCCCTGCCACGTGCTGGCTGGAGAATTCTGGGAGTTGAAGTCCACAAGTCTTAAAGCTGCCAAGTTTGGGGAGGTCGTCTCAGCTTGAAAGGAAGAAAGGCAGGGGAACAGAGCAAGTTCACCAGGGAGGTTTTTTTAAAAAAGAATAGGGGTGCCAAGGATGGCAGTTGGCCATGGGTGCCTGCAAAAATGGGCCCTGGTCCAAAGCAGTTGCTTATAGAGAAATCACGTAACTCCCCACCAAAACCTTCAAGGCCAGGTGAGATGCTCTGCAGTCTTTACAAGAGAGATTTGTCAGCTTCCGCTGGAAGCTACAAACCAGGAACAGCCTCATTAACAGATCCCTGGAGAAACTCCCTACTGTGCAGGGAGAACCCCAGAGGGCAGCCCTTCCTGCTTGACACAAATCTCACAGGAGCTCCTGCCACATCTTGTGTCAAGAACTGGGAGGGTTTTTTTTTTTTTCCCCTAGCTGTCCTTTGCTGGGTGCATCACAAATCAGATGGATCTGGAGGGGAAGGTATTTGACTTAAGTTTGCTTTGCGTTGCTGGCTGGGGAATTCTGAAAGTTGAAGTCCACACAACTTTAAAAAAAGTTAAGGTTGAAAAAAAAAAAGAAAAACCGGTTCCAGATTGCATCTGGGGACACCTGCTGGATGGAGGCTACTACTCACCACTGAACATGGCTTTGTAACTCTCAAAGAGCTTGGGAGCTTCTGGGTGTTGTATTTCGGGGAGCTACCCTGTCTCCCTAAAAATAAGACCTCCCCAGATAATAAGCCAAATTGGGCTATTGATTGCAGCCGGTTCCCACCATTTCCTCTGATTAGGGTTAGGGTGACAGAGCTGGAAATCAGGTAAGACAGCAAGAGGAGTCCCATCTTGCTCCATGTGCCCCAAAATAATAAGACCTCCCTGAAAATAAGGCCAAGCGCTTATTTCAAGGTTCAAAAGAATATAAGACAGGGTCTTATTTTCGGGGAAACAGGGTAGTTGGTTGAGCAGGTTTTCAATATCTATATTTCTTGACATTTCAGCTGAACTATTTTCACGTCTATAGCTACACATTTTAGCAAAATGTATAAACGTAAAGATGAAATAACGGGAATTCCTAATAGCTTTATTATCTTCCTTTTTGTTACATGCAAAAAAAAAAAAAAAGCCTAACTATACATGCTAAGCAATAGTGCAGCACAGAAGTTTACTTGGGAGCTATGCAATTCCTTGAAAACAAGGAGCTTACTTTACAGGATTGCACATAAACGTTTCGTTTTCCATCGCAACTTTTTCTCTCTAAATATATACTGCTATTTGAGGTGTGGAAGGGAAGACGCTGGGCTCAATTTGTACCATTATTGCAGAAGGGAAAGTGATATTTTAATAACTGCTTGAACCAAAGGCCATTTCAGGAGGACGGTGCCTGTCATACCCTTTTCCAGCCCTTCCCAGATTCACTTTTATTTCTCATGCAACCCAGCAACAGGTTGGTAAACTTCAAAACAGGAAAAGTTGGGTTGAACTCTGCTTTATTGATGTATAAAGTGGCATCTGACAATCCGATGCATCTCTTTAAACAGCAGGTAATGTATAGAGAGAGTTACAGAGTGCACTGTCAGGAGGCATGACTCAACTCGAACACAAGACAGCTCAACAACAGCGGCACAAGCAACCCTGGATAGCTTCGGTTGGGTGGAGTGCAGTGATGGGAACAATTCCGGTGGCCTGGCTCGCTCACGTTGTGTTTCGTGAGCAAAAATTGGTTCCCCCCCCCCCAATCCTCCTATGCTGTCAAAAACCAGCACAATCTATTCCTGAACCAACCCACTGTGAAAAAAAAATATATAATCTGATATCCCTCAGGTCTACTGGCAAGGAGGAACAGAAGACTTAATAGATTTGGCTTTCTAAAACTTCCCAGGGGCAGGAGAGGGGGCTCGTGTCAACCCCTACTGGAGTGTGTGTCGATCTGATCAAGTGAGGCGCATCGTGGCTTACAAGGGAACAAGTATTCTTTGTGTATCTCGCAGCAAGAACCAGAAGGGCCCTGCAAGATCGAGCAAACTACGATGTAGCAGAGCTCGTGAGTGGAGTGTTTTGGCAGAGTGCTGACAACACAGACTCACAGAAAGGAAGAGAGAGGCTGGGAAGGTGGGATTCAAGACAAGGATCACACCACGCCTCGCCTACAATGCCGCACTAAACAAGTCAGCCAAGATTCCTAGTTTCCCTGGCAGAGCAGATCGCTCCAGAAGAGAAACTGGGCAATCCCCAGCTGCTGGATCATACTGGCTCCTAACAAATAAGGCTGGATAGCCCGGGGCAAGGAAGAAAAGGGGGGAGGAGGTTCCACTTATCAAACTATTTCAAGTATTTCTAAATTGAAGTCTCTTTTTTTTTCCCCCGCACCCCCAGTTACTGCACTCGATGGCTTAGGGCAGTCACTACTATCCGCTCTACAGACAAAGAACAAAATGGCAAGCAGTTGCTGGTCTAATGCGAGAGGGACAGGGGGGGATGAGACAGGAGGAGGGGGTGTTCATTGCCGGGATCCGTTTTATGGGACAGGCACTACACGCATGGTGTTGGTGTAACCGGATCCAGGGCGCCAGCCGGTAAGCACGATGACTAGATCCCCTGACTTGAAGAATCCACGAGCTTTGCCTGGAAAAAGACCAAAATAGGAAAGGTGAGAAAGCAGGACGGGTTGATGTGGAATCCACAGGTAGTCCTTTGACTTACGACTGATCACTTAATGACCGTCTTTAATAGCAATAGCATTTAGACTTATATACCGCTTTACAGCCCTCTCTGAGCGGTTTACAGAGTCAGCCTATTGTCCTAACAATCTGGGTCCTCATTTTACCCACCTCGGAAGGATGGAAGGCTGAGTCGACCTTGAGCTTGTCGGAATCGAACTGCTGGCTGTTGGCAGAATTAGCCTGCAATATTGCATTCTAATCACTGCACCAACAAGTTCCTTCCTTCCCCACTTAGCAATAGCACTTAAGACTTATATACCGCTTCACAGCCCTCTCTAACCAGTTTACAGAATCAGCCTATTGCCCCCAACAATCTGGGTCCTCATTTTACTGACCTCGGAAGGATGGGAGGCTGAGACAACCTTGAGCCTGGTGAGATTTGAACTGCCAAATTGCAGGCAGTCAGCAGAAGTAGCCTGCAGTACTGCACTCTAACCACTGCACCTCAATGAAATGACTCAGGCCTCCGCAGAGCTACTTATAGTCCATTTGCAGAGTTATGATGACTACGTTCCCTCTGTGGTCACATGATCTCAATTTGGGTGCTTGGTAACCTTTATGGCTATTTGTGGTGCAATCATGTGACCACAATTTTCAAGCTGATTATCCAGCTTCCATTATGCTTTGGGGAAAGTCTAGTCACGTAATGCCT